ATATATTAGATTAATGTTTTACAGCACACTGACTATAAATGCTCCAGAACACTAAGAACTAGGCCTGTTTTGGTCTCTATAGCCCAAGTGCCAATGATGCAACACCTAGCACATACTAGGCATACTATAAGTATATGCTATTGTCTAAGTTACTTTTTTTATCATTGCTGAGCCCAAATACCCAACACTCAAATTTAAAGGAGGAAAGGTTTAATTTAGCTCATGGTTTGTAGAGGTTTCAGTCCATAGCTGGCTGGCTCTAAGGCAGGATGGCGTGGCAGAGGGCATCAAAAAGGAGAAACAGTTCATAGCGGGCAGAAGCAGCAAGCAACAAGTGACTCCACTTGCCCTCTTTCTGTACCCTATATTTTATCCTGGCTGCCCACCCTTAGGGTAGGTTGTACTCAGACACAGAGTGGGGCACCTTTAATCCTACCCAGAACTATGCCAAACCAATCAGTGGATTAATTTAGTAGTCCTACAGCCTTGATCCCAATATCACACACTCAAGATCCAGCCACCTCTGAAAAGTTCCACCTATGACTGATGAGGCTTTCGGAGGACATCTAGACACAACCCATAACACTCATGAATGAATAAAGATGGTTATTCCGAAATTATTATTTCATCTGGTAATTAATGGAACTAAACTAATCAATGTAACATTGAATCATGGATAGTAAAAAAAGAATGAAAGTCATCCATTCATTAAGTCATGTATATACAGAGTTATCATTTGTACAGAACCTAAATGTCAAACACTGTGCTAGGAACCAGACAAAATGGACAGAATTGCTATCTTCATGGAGCTTGTAGTAAGAATGATAGACCTTTGTATATAATCATTTATATGTACACAACTACACTGACAGATATTGTTAAATACACACAAGCATGCAAAGCACAATTCCTGTAGTGACTGCTCTAACTTGCTGAATCGTAAAGTCAGCTAAAAGGTGTTGGCAGGAGGCTGCGGATTTAGCTCAGTGCTGCTGCACCTGTCTTGCAAGTGCGAGGTCCTGAGCTTAATCCCTGGTAGTGAAGAAAAAAATTGGTGTTGGCAGGCCTTTCTAATTGAAGAAATTGCCATTCTTGGATTGCCCCTCCCTGTGCCAGGGCTCACTACATTTACCCTATTGTTTCTATACTTTCAACTTCTAGTCACATCGATTAGTTCCACTTATTACCACCAATAGTAAATAGACATTGAATGGGGTATCATACTCAAAACACAACAAACTCTACTAGAACGACCAAAACCCAAACATAGCACCAAATGCGAGAGAGAAACAGGAATTCTCATTCATTGCTAGTAGAAACACAAAATGGAACAACCACTTTGGAAGATAATTTGGCAGCTTTTTAAAAAAGTAAACATTCTCTTACTAAATACTCAAGCAATTGCACTCCTTAGTATTTACTCAAATTAATTGAAAATGTATATCTACATGAAAAGCTGCACAGAAACATGTATAACTGTTTTAATCATAACTGCCAAAACGTAAAAGTATCCAAAATGTA